CGTCTAATTGCTCTAAATGAAAAAGATGATATAAAAACAATAATATTTACATAAAAATATGTAGGTTAAACAAAATAAAATTACTAACCGATTCTCTGTATTGATGTTTAATTGTATTTATAACATTTTCGATATTTACTAAGAGATGCAAGAAGTTCTTTTTTATATAAATTCGATGGTAGAACAAATACAACGAGACAAAGCATTGATGGAATAAATGAAACAAAATATCCAATAAGATATAACCATGGATTCCTAGTTGATTCTATACAACCTGAAACAAAAGAAATGATCAAACGTGGTAAAGCAAGAAAAACCGAAAGAATTGGAGCAATTAATAAATGACGATGATGTCGCAATTGTTGTAGTAATAGATGTGGATGACGAGATTTTTGATTTTCAGCACGTCTTCTTTGTCGAGTGGTCATTACAATAATAACAATAGCTGAGATCATATTAATGATAAATGGAATAAAAAAATGACATATATGAATGATTGTATCGTAGGATTGAAGACTAGATGGATAAGTAACAATACACCAGATACGTTTCTCGTCATTATTATCATCATCATTTAAAAGACGTCGATGAATTGGATTATGAATAGTTGTACCAATCATGAAAATAATGAGAATAATAATAATATATTTAGCCATTTTTATACTTTTTTCTTTGTTAAAACTTGTTCCTCTGATTACGTTGAATACTCTTTCTGTAGCTACACATGCACTTAACCATTTATCCATATATAAACAGATTTGTAATAAAAAGTCAATTGAATGGCATTGAAAATTAAGAAATGATCGATTCGTAACATATGTCATTTGTGTAATAAGAAGTATTGAAAACTTTAATGCAAAAATAATTGTGGTAAGTAGAGTAATAATTGATATTCCTAATAAATACAAACCACATCCAACTTTTTGTGTTTCTTTATTGATAAATGTAATTAATGATAAAATACCATTAATAAGACCTATAATGAACATGATTGTTGTTAATACTATACTAAATTTTACAACAGATGATTGATATTTAATATTAATATTTGGTTGAATATGATAACCTAAAATACCATCAAGTGAAAGATCAAATATATTTGAACTAAATTCACATCTTGTTCCATAAGAACATTTTGGACAAACACACATTGATGTCTGTGGACAAGTTGCTTTATCTTGTAAACATTGTGCTCCACGTTCACAATTATTTTGACCAAAACAATCATGTTTAATTAAAGGATTAAATTCAAAACAATTAGCTACACGATGTTTACCAAAGTTATTGCATAAACAAAAATGAGTATTATCATAAAAACAGGTTAATAATAGTGAACGTTTTTCACATGATAAATGATAATATTTAATTCGACGAATAAGATGAAAATTAACAATAGTTTCATTTAATATTTCACTTATATGTTTACAATGATCTGATGAATGAACTGTTTTTGAAATAATCATTGTTTCATTATATGTTGTCTGAACAGTGATCAAATAATAATTATTATTAAAGAGTTCAATAAAAACAATATGAAATGGACGTGACCATCGAATAGTAACGGAATTTTGATTGACAGGAATATTTTTAAAAGTAGAACCATTCTGTGGTAGAGCATTATCAATTACTTGAATGAAATGAATTAATATCACTTGTGGTAAAAGAATATCTTTATCAAATGATAGAATAATTTGATTATCAGATTTTTCACATCTCTTTCCACTAAAGCCTTTTGGACAGATACATATAAATTTCTCATTAAATATCATATTGTCATCAATAGGCACACATTGACCACCATTTAAACAAGTTCTATTTCCACCAGATTGACAAATTGTATGTTGTAGTAAACAACGGGCGCTCCATTTATTGAGAGGACAAACACAAATCGATCGATTATTTGCTAAAACACCTATACATAATGAATCAGATGAGCACATGCATGTATGAGGAATATTACAATATTTTCCAGACCATTCTCGATCACATTGACAAAAGCTAGAACCTTTTGGATCATTAGAATATTTAATACTACGACCATGATTACAATTTTTATCTGAACAAGTTTCAATTGTGCTAGTGATACGTGGGATATTAAGTTGAAGAGCAATACGATGTACAGGTAAAAATGGAAAATGTATTGGTATGAATAAACTGCCACGATATTTAAATGAAATCTTTTCATAAACATCAATATGAATAAAATAATTCTTTGTAGAATTCTTTGGTCGAGTTGAATAAAGTAAATAAATATTGAATTTAACTCGACAATGTTGAAAATAAAGATAAGTGAGTTGTTGAGATGAATGAATAATTCTTTCATTACTATCATCAATAAGTGCAATAATTAGAGCAAATAATGTTTGTCTTGAATCAGAAAATGTTTGAAATTGTAGAGTAAGACTAACTCGTTGATTTTGATATTGACAAAAATTACCATAAAAACTAGGTGGACACAGACAAACTATAGTATTTAAATTTCCATTATTATTTAACCAAACTTGTAAAGGAAGACCACGATGACAACGTTGATTATATTGACGAAGAATTGGAATAGAAATAAAACGTGTCACCTGATTCTGAATGGTTAATTGTTTATCTGATTGTCTTAATTTGTTGACAGAAAAATGTACAATATGCATTTTATAGAGATCACTACGACGTTGACAAATAAAATTCTGAATATCAGTACGTATTGATGCGTATATATCGTAACAAATAGAATAAAGACTAGGCTTGTTTTTAGTTGAATTACATATTGGTTCATCATCTCCATGCATACATTGCTGCTCGCTAGAGCACAGATTATGAGACCTTATGCAAGAGTGAATAGTGTCGTTCTTACAATAAAAATTCTCATATTTTAGTTGATGATTCTTTGATCGACATAGTTTCGGTTCATCCGTAGCACCAACACAATCAATATTACCATCATTTGCTTTTTCGATGGATAAACACATAAGTTCATATGTTTGTGGTGATACACAAATGTGATGATAAGATGGACATTTTAATAATGATAATGAATCACAATCAATTTCATCAGCACCATTAAAACAATTCCAAAAGCCATCACAACGTGTATAAGTGTTATTACATTGCCAATATTCACATTCAGTTTCATCTGTTTCATTGCGTCCATCAATGGTAATGGGTATCAATTCTGTAAAACCATCACAAATACTTTGAAATGATATATGCTTTCTGATATAGTGATCAGTTGTATATTCATCATCACATAGACCATATTCATTATCTTTACAATCACAGTTACCATTTTGGATCACTTTTAAAGGCATACATTTCTTTTCCGCTGTACATTTGAAAAGTGTTTTCGATCCTATTGTAGGACAAGTACCATTGATTATGGGACAATGTTCATCATCTTTATAATCACAATCATTCTTACCATCACAAAGACGATATTTAGAAATACATTTTGAAGAATTCATGCATCGATACATAGTTGAATAGTTACATAGATCGGAATTATTATATAGAATTGTATTACAATGGTTAAGGAGACGATCCAACGATGTAACATACATGTCTAGCCTACTAGCTCTTCCAATATTTTCAAGTTGAAATGGAAAATCTTCTGAACGACGACATGTAATATTATTGAATTTAATTAATGTTTTATTGGGATAGAATCCACTGCAAAGATTATCATTGTAACAAACGTAATGAGGAGCTAACATAGGCATCCCACCTATAACAAGAGGCGTTTTCTCATAGGCTACGTACATATGACCAAAGACAAGTGGTCCAGCGGGCATCAAAAGTAGATCGGGACATGTTTCATTCATTATCCGTTTGCATGTTTCACCAAAACAGAGATCATTACATGCTGAATCGAAGTAATTTGTAATGGGATAGATACATCTAAATGCTAGCCAACAAATATCCGATAATGATTTTGGTGTATCAGAATCAATCGTCTTTACGAGTAAAATCTTACGTGTTGCCATACATGAACTAGTTATTATCGTGCTAGTGTACTCCCTTCGTGAAGGACATGCGACATCTTCGTTACCGAATGTTGGTTCACCATTCCATCGGTATGACACCGGCCTTCTGTTTTTATAAATTTCATCTGATTGATCGAGACATTCAAAAGTATTTTTATCATTATTATGAAGGAATATTGTAGATATACACTGTCCATTGTCACATCGATGTTCATTCTCAGCACATTCATTAATTTCAAGTTCCCAACAATTTTCTTCATCCATTGCATTATTTGAACAATCAATACGCCCATCACATATTTCACTCCAATCAAGGCACATCGATGCAGAACCACGATTACATTCTAAATGAATATAACATGTCAGATTAGTAGGTTCATAAGGTGGTTGATAAAAATCATAAATAATTTCATTTAATGACAAAGAATTATCAGGTTGATTAATATCTAATGAATATTGACATAATGATCCAAATCTTGGTAATGTACAATTGTAGAATAATTGTGATTCCATTGAAGATAAATGTTCATCTAAATACAATTGATATCGTTCAACAACATCCATTGGTGCTGACCAATGATATAATTGTTGACTTGTAATATTTTCTTTCGAGAGTTGTACAAAAGTAAATGTTTGATTGAGACTCGGTTCTTGAATTTTCCATTTTATTGGCCATTCAGTTAAACAATAAGAAATGATCTGATGCAAATCACTTTCTTTTTTAATCTCAGCAAAAATATAAAGACAATCATATTGAAAAGCAACATCACTTTTATTATTGCTTATTTCATCTGTTAGATGAAGGTTAATTTGAATTGAATCAGTGGTCGAATATAATAAAAAACAGTAGAATAAAATCCTTATGAAGAACATTTTTTAATTTTCTAATATTTGTGAATGGCTGCATTATATATATAGTAGCAAATGTTGTGCTTGTTATATGTTGTTTTTTCCTTTTATTTTCTGTATTTATTTTTGAAAATACTAATTTAAAATGTTTTTTTTTTAATAGAGATTGTGACTATGATAGTGATTAAAACCATTTGTTCCTGTATCCTGCGATAAAAGTCTCAACATCTCCATGATATTTTCTACAAATATTGGGAAAATTTCGCATCTGTCATCGTTTTAGACGGAACTAACTGTTAGATAGGAAATAAACTTATTATTTTTATGTTAAAATGATTTCAAAGTCATATTTCTCATAGATGCTCTAACAAATATTTCACATAAAATCGACAATATACGTCAATGAAGTTGTTATTGCAATTATAATTAACTAAAAATAAACTAAGTAAGAATTTGATCGATTAATTTGCTTTAAAGACAAAGATTTTTTATTCGAAAAGGACCTATTAGTTTACAATTAACATATACTCAAATATATGGCAAATAAAAAACGAAAATGATAAGATAAATTAATATTAAACAGAAAAAATGAATCATTTATCTTTTATTCTTTTAAATATCTTCAATACTCAAAAGAATGTTCTTTCTAAATTAAAATAAAACAAAATAATTATTTAAAAAAGATTGAAAATCTTTGTTCTATATAGAAATTATTCTAATACAACAATTCAAATTTCAACCTAATTAAATATTATAAGAAAAATAAAAAAATTATGTGTTAAAAATAATTCTCTTGTCAATTTTAACTTGAAACATTTGAGAAAGAAAAATTTTATTGTACTATATTACAATTAATATGACAGATGAATGCAATCAAAGACACCTGTCACACATTCAACAAATATCTTTTTTCTAACATCAACTGAACATTTCACATTTTATATTTAATTTCTGAGCTTTTTAACAGACAATGAATATAAAAGATGACTGTTTCCATTGTTCTTTTTGATAATCAAGTCTGTAAAATGATTTCTAAAGTTTCTCTGAATTTATCTATTGAGAAATGCAATATTGAGGATAAAGATTCAGAATTAATTTTAATTACTCAAACACATAGAATCTTTTACAGTTAAGAAACATATCCGAATTCCGTGAATTCTGAACTCTTGAGGAACTCTGAACTCAAAAATGAATAAAAAGTATAAGCTCTCGTCAACCACTACTAACAGAACTCACGGAACTCAGGGAATCTAAGAAACTCAAGGAACACAGGAAACTGAAGGAACTCACAGAATTCAAGAAACCCAAAGAATACTCAAAATTCAGGGAATCAAAAAGTTCGCGGGCTTCAAATAGCGCTTAAAAGTTTCGCGGAAGATCAATTGTAGCTTTTCAAAGAAAACATAGATGATAAAGCCCTGTTTAGTCATGAGTGTTCAAAAACTGCAGTGTTGTCGTACCTTCACAAATAGTGGATGCTGTAAATGCCACTAGCAATGACGAATATTCGATAAGTTCCTTTTATGAATATTTAAGCATGATAAATAACAAAATCTATCATCGCTTCTTTCTGGAAGTTGCATATATGTAACGAAGGGAGAAACAGCTGAAATCAGTTGTTTTTATTATACTGTCTAAACTAATTAAACTGATGTCTTTGACTAAAACATCGAGAACAAACAATTAATTTTTTTGATTTTTCTGTTAGGTTTAATTCAAAAAAGTCAATATAATCAAAAGCTTCTAAAAAATCTAAAACATTGCTTCTTCGTAGTTATCATAGTATACCTCATTCTCTAAATGTACGGATTATGTTCTATTATCAACTAAACTCTATGTTCAAGCTTAAACTATAAGAAAAAGTTAAAATCAAGGCACAAAACGCTGACATCCAGATCTTTTTTGTGAAAAGTGAAAATTTTCATTATTTGGATCAAACCGATTTTTTTCATTTATAATAGATTAAACAGCAAAAAGTCAGCTGTTTATCGCTTGTGTGTGACATATTCTCATTATCCTTTATGATCTTATAAATATTTTTTGATTCTCAGTCTACCAACCGTTGGCCAACGCATGCCACTTATCGTCTGTGCACAATTCTGCTCACACTCTCACGAGGAAAGATCCCCAAGTGTGAACCTCAGTTTTGAATGGGATATATACCAGTTTGTAGAGCTCGACGAGTTGATTCTCATAGTATGTTTCGTTTTTGCCCATAGGCCTTCAAATGAGAAAAACCAATCGATTTTAATAGTGAATTTCTTGACTTTAGATAAGTTTTAAGATATTTGTTAGAAAATCAGGACTTCAAGATTACTATTTTTTGTAAGGTTTTCATTTAGCCTTTTTAAGAACAAGCCTATCCCGTGAGTTGTTTACAGTAAACATTCAATAATCAAGTTCCCATTCAAATCGCTAATCAAAGATCTACAAACTGTGAAAGACTCAGATGTTTAAATTTAATTATTTATGGATAATACCTCTTCCAGACGAAACTCTGCTACGATTTTCTATCAACTTTTTTGCTTTTTCTTTTTTTCATAAAAAAAAAACATTTTTCCAACGGTTAGAAAATTGAATCAAAAACTTCAGAAATCATATAAGAAAAATCAGTAATATACAGCTCGATGCGTCTTCATCTCTTCTTTCCAACAGTGAAAATCGCAGGTCTCTATCTTATTGCTATCGAACATTATTCAAAAAGTACTTACGAACATTCATGTCACCAGCACATATGCGAAAGATACAGATCTTATCGAAAATTTAGTATTATGATATTAGTTGAATAGCGATCAAATAGCATAGAAAGATAGAGCGAAAGACACTCTATCTAATCATAAAAAACAGACATTTTTTTAAAATTTACTATAAAGAATTAAAGTCTTGACGACACTACTTTTGGATTGCCCTAAGTAGTTACCCTGTAACATAACGATAACTGATCTCCGTAATGATGATAAACTAATAAATCAGTATTAAACAACTACAGTGCTTTACTTAGCTTAATTTACTCTACTTTACTTTACCGGGTAAGGTAAACTTGAGCTACCTACTTTATTCAGTAAAGTAAAGATAAAGTACCACTCCTAATACGTTAATCTGTTTTTCTTTGTATTAATGACTCCTTTATTCCGTTGACATCGAACACTTTTCACCATTCGATGATCATATCGAGCACGAGTTAGTAATCTACGTGATAATGGCTTTGTCAGAAGTTGATCTAGAGGATTTTTGAGAGAAGCAAGAAATTCAATTGATTATGGATGTTTGATTGACATACAATTGTCGTTGAGATCGGTTGTAAAAGTTCAACAAGTTTTTTATATTCTCTTTCAATAGTAGTATCGATTAGTAGGTGTGTAAAACAGTTTTGACAAACAAGTATATATTTTGGACTGTTAGCGTATCGGAACCCGATTTTTCAAACTCCCTTTGTTTGCTTTTCAAAAAACTTTTTTCGAAAAATTCTCAAATTCGTGAGCAAAAAGTCAATAATTAAAATCAAAGATCTAAATTCTTTATTTCAGCTAAAGAGAAATTCAAAAATCGGCCTCTGTTACGACCTAATCCTGAACGCATTCTACAATTTAAAAACCATCCCGTCATGTACAGCTCGTATTCTCATGTTGAAAACCTTGCCCACGTCCAGGATACTATTGGCCAATGAATTGGTTATAACTCGTGAGTATCTTGGAGATTTGGGAAAATATTTTTTCCATAGTCTATTTTAGCCAAGACTAACATTCTCTGAAATTTTGGTTGAAATCAGATAAAAAACATAAATGCTTTGCTTCGTGCTACATTAATAAAAAAAGTCTATTTCTGAGCCCCTTCCCCCCCCCCCCCCCATCCTTTAACACGTATAGCTGTGGTCTGATTAGGTGCTGATCAAAGGGCGCAGTTGATCGTATCTGACATCAATAAATCGGTATTTTATTCACCGTTTTGTATTCAATGGCTATGCCTCTTGGAAATTAAAATTGATATATACAAACAAATTGATGATTTAGTGATCTACTCCGATCGTAAAACTTAGCCAATGATATGATGAACGATAGATCATCCGTTAAAAATGTATTTCAACATATTTTTTAATACATATGATAAATAGTCAACATATTGAATACTAGCGCTCAATTTGATCTTTATTTATGAGATTCAAAATATGAATGTTTATGAATATAGCATATATTTAGATAATGTGTAGTAAAAGCTTTTATATCAATGAAAAAATCAGTGTCCTTGTTAACAGCCATCGTTTCTCTTCATACCAATTACAAACTTACTTTTATTTTCGAATTCATTTTGAGTATGTCTTTGAGATATAGTTTTCCTTCGTCATCAATTTGATTGTAGTTGAGGTGAAGTGTGGTGAACGTCTATATAAAATAATGAATAATTCGTAGAACGAGAGAAAAGCAGAAGAAAATGCTATGTTACTTTGTTGTCTAATAGAGCATTGCCTAGATGTTCTGCTCCTCGATTACTGATTTGATTCTCTCTAAGACGAAGTGTAGTGAGTGTCTATGTGAAAATAGGAGTAAGTCATAAAAGAAAAATGAATGTTACTTTGTTTCGAAGTAGAGTATTTGCTAAATGTTCAGCACCTTGATCACCAAGTTGAATGCCTTCGAGACCAAGTGTGAGAAGTGTCTGTATGAAATAATGAGTGAGAGAAGAAAGATGAAAATAGAATGTTACTTTGTAGTCTAATAGAGCATGACTTAGATATTCAGCACCTTGATCGCCAATATTGTTCCACGAAAGATGAAGGGTGAGGAGTGTCTATATGAATTAATGAATGAGCAGTAGAATAAGAACGAAACGAAGAAAATTCAATGCTACTTTGTTTTGCAATAGACCATTGGCAAGATATTGTGTTCCTCGTGAAGTAATTTGATTGACTCTAAGGTCAAGTGTAGTGAGAGTCTGTTTGAAAGGATGAATAATGATAGAGTGAGAAGAGAATAGAAAAAGTGGCACAGTACTTTGTTTTGAAGTAGAGCATTACTTAGATGTTCAGCTCCTTCATCAGCGATTTGATTGCTCGAAAGATTAAGGGTAGTAAGTGCCTGTGCGAAATAATGAGTAAGTCGTAGCATAGGAAGAGATACAAAGAGAAGAGATCTTACTGTATTTTGTAGTAAAGCATTGCCTAGATGACTTATTCCTTGCGGACCAATTTGATTATATTGGAGATGAAGTGTGGCGAGTGTCTGTGTGACAAAATAAGTGAGTACAAGGACGAAAAGAGAAAAGAAGCAATGGAATAAATGTTACTTTGTTATGAAGTAGAGCATTGCTTAGATACTCAGCTCCTTGTAAATTAATTTGATTATATTGAAGGTAAAGTGTAGTGAGTGTCTATATGAAGAAGTGAGCAATTGCTAAATTAAAAAGATGAAATTTTACTGTATTTTGTAGTAGAGCATTGGCGAGATGTTTTACTCTTTGTGCATCGATTTGGTTGCCTCCGAGGTAAACTGTATTGAAAACCTATGACAAAACAAGATGAAAGCGAAAATAATAAAGAACTGTGCTACAAAAGTTTATCATTGTATGAAAATAAGCAAGAAAAACTTGCCACGGAGCAGATGGCGAACATATATTTTCCTCTCCACTAACACACATCTGTCAGAATAAATCGTTCCTGCATTTGAATGCGCACGATATCAATGAATTTTTACACTTTCAAGATCTTGGATATAAGCAGTAATATGCTGCTCTATTGATGTAGATCGAGTCGATGCTTGCTCTATCTGTAATAGTGTAGTTTAGTTATGTGTTGTGGATTCAATAGTATGAGATGTTTGAACAGGCTTAATAATCAACTCTTTGTTTGGACATTCTCTTGATAAAACGAACATTACTTGAAATAAGCCAGTGAATGGCGGAATACTTCTTCCACATAGCATATTGTTGCTAGAGGAGTAGTTGAGTGTAACGAAGACTGGATCGAACCAGTTAAAATCAGATGGTTGTTTTGAAGTTTATTTACATCCTATTATCTCTTCTTCGTGAATAGGTGAAAGCTGAAAAATATTGGTACAATTCTCTCTTTTATTGCGGCATTAAAATCTCTAGGATTGCAGAAGGTCTGATAAGCTGTAATCATTGTATAGAATTGTTCAAATTGAGTAGGCAAAGATTACATGATTGTTATTCATATTAACTATGACAGTGTTAGAGCTATTAGCGTAGTGTTCTACATATTTTCATAGGCAAGAGAGTGTTTGAATTTAACAAACGATCGTCAAAAGCAGAGATAAAACTGATACCATCAGCTAAATATTGCTCCAAGTTTGGCAAATTATTCCTTTGTAATAACGAAAAATCAATGAAAATAATATATTTCTGAAAAAACATTATGCTTCAAAGATGATCTAAATATGACTCTATACAATAAAAATAAGTATTACCTGATATCGATAGTACGTATTTGTAATGGCATTGAGTCTTATACAGACATTTCTGCACGCTAATAAAATCGTTAACTCATCTAAATGGTCCAAAATTCGATACACTAACTCGACAGGTATCGTATGCAGCGAGAGTTTCATTTGGTTAGACATTGCTGTTGTTTCTTTTGACATCTGCGCGCTTTGAAATACTCTGTTATCGTTTGTGTAATTCCATGCCTCTTGATAGAAATGAAAAAGTGCGTGTGTGTATGATAGAACGAAAAAATATGAAGACCTCTCTAGACACAATTTGCATCATTGCTTTTTTTCTTCGTTTAACTTGTATGCAAAACATCGAAACGTGTGTAGAACGATTTTTTTATTCCTTTCCAACATCAGTGTCGATTTATCGTGAATAAACACATTTATAGTCATGTCACCATTTTACCTATAGACAATGACGTATCAGAAAAAAGCATTCGGTTTTCACTTGCTTTTCCTCAGCTTCTTTTCTTCAGCAGTTAATATAATACGACTGAATGTATGATTTTACAAAATCAATTTGTTCTATACTGTTGATCATGTTTTTTCACATATCTGATATTTATTTTTATGGACAGTGATGAGTGGGCGAGTATTTGTCATAGAATAAAATTAGGAATAACTAATCATTTTGATAGACACCAATAAAGAAAAGATTTTACACGTTTAGATGATAATCAAAGGGAAGAAGTCGTTAAGAGGGAAAACTGGTCTCACAAAAATTCTCATTTTTTTTCTTACGAAATAGTCACATTGTGAGTAATGGAAATAGATCACTAGGCCAATTCATACATCATTCGAAAGCTCTTCAATAGTGCTACAAAATGATATAAAAAATTAAAAAAAAAATTCATTATTAGCTATAGGTTGCTGGAACCCGACCGGTTTCCACTATACACAATACGATCAAAATAATAGGGCTTCTGATGTTAGCAAATGTGATTATAGACAATGGAGATACACCGTCGGTCTAAATTACTTAGGATTGACCAAAAGTTCGTAGAAGGATGTTGAAATTTTTATAAAATACTTAATATCAAAAGATTTATTGCATAAATACATAGTAAGGATGTCTCATCTATAATACAGTAAATATGTGAATATTCCTCGTTAAGAATATCAAGAAAGAGTTATGTTTAGTTATTCACACGAAAAAACTAAGTAAATCGAATGAACGATCTCGCACTCTCTATATATACTGTCAAATGTAATTTTTAAGTGCATGACGTCAGAGAATATATGAGAGAGAGGAAGGAAAACGTGCGGAATTCAGAAATATATTTGAATCCGGGACGATGGTGTGGGTGTAAACAAGAACTACCCTCATACTCACACCCACATCCTCCACCTAACAATTGGATTATAGATTAAAATTAATAATAAACCATTTAGCAATGAACAGTCTACAAAATGATTGATAATTTTCGCAATCAACTTGCATCTTGAATTGAAAAACAAAAGACTAAGGAGATGATCTTTAATCTATGACTGTGTGAGATCGACATATTGCTCTTTAATATTTATGCCAGATCTAAAATTAAACAGATTATTCTTTCGTATATAGTAATGCTCTTAGAAGCACTAGTCATCGTTCGAAGAAAGATTTATTCTGTTTCATTTTGATTTCTTATTAGCATTGATTTCTATTTTCTTGATGAAACCCTCTACTGTCTTTAGTTCATACCCTAGTGAAGGTACTCATAGCCTAGTACTCAAAAAGTATTCATTGTGTAAAATTGAGTGTTTTGTAAGTACTACTACCTAGTTTTTGTGTACTCTGCTGGTTCATGTAAAATATTCATAAGCATATTTGTTACTTTCTTCCGTTGTACTACATCAATTTTTATTTGATATTAAAATTTTAAAAAACAACGCAGGCAGATATAACAAAAAATTGACAAGTTTAACATTAATTTCATATATTTTAACGCAAAGAATCTTAAATATTTTCTGTGTTTTTATAGAATAAAAATATTATTTTATTTTCAAAAAATAGATAAAATGGTATTTTTATTATATAAAATCAAAGAAAATATCTAACTATCTTCACTAGTAACGAAGATTTCTTAAAGTATCTGTCCATAATTTATACGATCAATCTGAAAAACTATATTTTAACGAAAGCTTTTTATCTAAATTTAGGAAATAAAACTAAAGCTAATCTATATTAATATGTTTTTAAAAAATTTTAATCTTACTGGAGAAGTTAATAAACGAAAATGAAAAATCGTTTTTGCATCGTTTTCTTTTATTATATAATTTCAATTTATTTTTGTGTATAGTAGTACATAAGTGTTTTGCTGGATATTCTGCGACAAAACGAGAATGAATGCCACATTGAGTGCTCATATATCTGTCTAGGAATAAATCTCTACAAACTCGTAGTCGCTTGATGAGTATTTTCACTAGGGTATCTTATTCATTGATCTTCTGTAATTGATTTCTTTTTCTTTTTTTATCTATCTAATGACACTGTTACATTGTCTTGCCGATCATTATATTTCATTGTAACGCATAGCTAAATGCATTTTATTTGTATATTTATATTATCCTTCATGACTGAATATTGATTTTTGACTAGAATCCAATTGCAATCTGTTTAATTTGTTAAAATATCGTTTCTATTTTTCTAGACAACAAAATAAACAATAATGTAATATTGTAAAATATCAATGAAATCAATAGAGAATCAAGTTTTCAAGACTACTGAATTGATATTTCAATAAAAACGAATAGATTGATGTACCAATACAGTAATAAGACAAAAATACAATTCATGATTACACATAGAACAACGATAAAAACAAAACACAACATACAACATCAATATGTTTTGAAAATTTAAAAGTTGAAGCGATTTATGTTTTTATGTTGTTTATTGCCATATCTCATCAATCATTAGCAACATCATCTTCATCATTAACCCAAGATGGTGGTACAAACTCTTCTAACATTTGCCATATTATTGCTAAAACAATAATAATTATATCAAATAAATTTATATTAAAACTAAAAGATCAATTAAAATTCTCTCTACCAATTGTTCACAACTAACAACATAAAAAACATAAACATTGTTAGAAAAGCAATATTCAACTATTAGCATTGATATTTTTTTTATTAAAATGACTTACATTTCCATTCTGATATACTATATACTTCATTCTGATGTTCATCAACTAAATATTCTTTAGTTGGTTCATCCATGAGGTCGTGAAAACTCTTCAAGAATGGATGAGCTAAATAACAAAATACACGATAGAAAACAACATAAATCGATGATTTTCTGATGATATTTTACATAAGGCTTCTTCAGTAGTTGGACGTGTACGATGATCAAAAGATAATAGATGATCAAGAAAATCAATACCTATAATGAATTAAAATAGATGAAAATGATTTGTTTCTCTAGATGTACCTTCTGGTGATACACCAGATGTTGGTGTTTGTATTACTGGATCATATTTGAATCCAAACAATTCATTATAGTCTTTTTTTGTTTTTGGTGGCAATTGGCTAATACAAGCAGCTGCAACTACAATAATGATTATAATATAGAATATTTTTCGAGTTATGTCATAAATATAAATTATATTGTCTCTTGTATGTTTTCGTTTTGATACAAACCTGGTACGCATATATCATTTAATATTACTAAGTCTGGTGTACCGATAATATCAAATATTTTGTCTAACTGATCAATATCATTTGTTCCACGAAAAACTGGTCGAAGCAGGATGAGTTCTGCCATTATACAACCGATCGACCATATATCGAGTTTATCATCATTATTTTTCTTACAAAGACTTACTTCAGGTGCGCGCCACCATCTAATGCAAGAAAATTCCTGTATTTTTAAAACGAAAACAATATTCTTGACGTACCTACGTTCAACATAACTATAATAGTCAATATCCCCTGTCCTACGAGCTAAGTCACAGTCAAAAACCTGTATAAAAATAGAAGAAAATACAGTGAATAAAGAACTCTTTCAAGTGAAGCAAATATATAAAGGTAAGTGTATATAACAATCGACGAGGTCTAGAGATGTTTAGTATATCGATGTTCATAGGTAAACGTTTTTGATGAAATGTTTTTAAAAATTATCTTAGTATCAAAAGTTTGAAATTTGAAAAATATGAGTGGTGATAAAGAAAAAATATCGATAAAAAATGAAATGATGATATCTCACAAAATCGAAACCAAATGTCAAATAGTTTTACAACTCTGTCATCTATCTTGGATTAAGGAAGCAGAAACTTATACAATCGGCTTACACTGCTAAACTCGTATATAGAAGCGAGATTTTCTTGATTATAATCTGTCATTTTGAATCTTTATCGATATATGTCACTGTATATCTTAGAAAAAAAAAGATAATTTGTATTGTTGGTTGTTCTTCGAGAATATAAGTTATGGATGAGAGATTTTGCACAGATGGTAATATATATATATATATATTCGTAGAAGGAATTCTAAAAATGAATAGATCGAACAAAGTATAGAACAATTTTTCTCTTGCTACTTATCAGAAAACTCTTCTATATCGGTTAGAGTACGAAACAGGTAAATGTTTTAGCCTTGCCCTCAGTTGAGATACAGCACTAAACAAAGACCTTTTGTTCATTTGTCAATAATATCTTCTAATCATACATCAATCGGTGTAATCATTCTTTGTCAACATCCAACTTGTGATCGGAGAAAACAATTTAAGTACTTCGTTGGAACTACTACAAAACTTTATTTTCAACAATCGAATACAATTATAAAGTATCGAAATAAATATTCGTTATACTCTTCTAGATTTTAGTGCATATGTTCTTGCATACTTGGCATTCATTATTACGAAATATTCTTCGTCGAAGAGAAAATGACATATATAGAACGAAACAAAATATAACAAGGTTAAGACATAAATAGTACACGTGATGGAGAGACTGTAAATTTCTATGGGAAAAACAATCTGGTCCAATAGAAGAAAATAATGTCTTAGATGATTATTCAGCATAGTTTGTTATTCAATGACTTACTGTAATATTTGAATTTTTATCTATTCTAATATTGCTTGGCTTCAAATGCTATATTAATATTAAAAAAAAACAATCTTTAACATATCAACATTTCATTTCTTTCTTCTACTTACATGATGAAGAATACCAGCTGAATGAATAAACTGCACAACAAAAAAAAGAGAGATGGAATTAGGTAGGTATCGGAAAGAGAGAGAGAGAGAGAGAGAGAGACAGATCTATACCTTTAAGCCACGAAGAAGTGAATAAATAATATATTTTATTTGATCTTCTGTAAACGGCAAATTACGTTTGATGACCCGATCCAGATCATAATCAACATAATTAAGTACAAAATATCTGGATAACAAGAGAAACAAATAAACAAACATCTTCTTCAAACAAAAATACTTTGATAACATACAATGTTTGAAAATCATCGATATTTTTCTCTGATGTAAACAAATTGTACAATTGTATAACCTACAGCAGTAGGAATACAGACAACATTTGAAGAAAAAAGAAAGAATGGTTTCAACAAACGTGTGCATCAGGATGATTAAGATACATAAGTAGTTTAAGTTCTCGATAAGTTCGTTTTGCAAGAATTGGAGTTTGAAAAGGATGGAAGATTTTTTTAATCGCTACATATTTACCTGTTTCCTAAATTAGAATAAATTTTTACGTTTTTACTCTTCATGTTCATAATAAAACATACTGTATCTGTAGCACGACTAAATAATAACGATAGATGAGTACGAAAAATAGAATGAAATGAGTTTTTCAACTTACACTACAGCACCAAAAGGTCTTTCTCCAATATGAACAAGATTTTGATATCGTACGGGTAATGTAAATTGTGTTCTACCGCAAGCGATTGTATACCATTCGTCTTGATTTTTACTATTAGCAGTCATTTTTATTTTTTCTATATGAAGGAAAAAAAGAAATGTACATGGTTTTATATGATGCTGGCAGATATATAAAGAAAAAGAACATGTTTTTTTTTTAATAGAAATGTCTAAAGGAAGAAAGAAATAGAACGAAGCAAAAAACATTAAGATAGTGGAGAATGGTAAGAAAGGAAAGAAAAAACCCAACCAAAATCAATTTATTTTA